AGCCCTGATCGATTTTGACAAATTCTTTTTCGGGCAGAGGTACAAAACACTTACTTCTTGCTGTTTTGAACCTTTGGAGAAAACTTTCTGCCCATTCGTTTGGCATTTGACGTAGATTCGCCAAATCAGCCAAAATGACTTCAGATTCAGTTTTATAAAACTGAGCGTGAAACAACTGTTCCAGTTGTTGCCATGTTTGAACAGAGTTCCCTGGCAAGTTGATGAACCAGGAGAAAGCTACTCCTGTTAACGAACTAGGGAAAAACCTCATTTTATGGTAATTGGTTACATCACCACTTTACAATGTGAATCGCCCTATGTGTTCTAGAGTGGACACCTCTCCTAAACTGGTAAACAGTGAGAATTCTGGCACTTTGTACCCTCTAGGCCATGGGTATGCTTGGTCTACCCAATCAGGATATGGTTTTGTGTACGTCGGTCTAATGACGGGACGCACCCCAAAAGCCATTTGATCCTGTATGATTTTCATAATCTGGTTCCTCAGCATGACGTTGGGATCATATGGAATTCCTACAGGCTGATTAACCGGTTGATTTGCATGAGGCCTGATGTTTGGTCCTTGATTGGCAACAAAATTACCATAATTAGGGCCATTACCATTAGCCTGAACATCTGTTCCCTCATTAACACGTGGGGTGTGCTGTCCATTGTTTAGGACATTATCTCTTATGTTTGGATTACCCCCAAGTTAGGCATACTACTACCATTGTTCTGATTTGGCACTGTAGTACCCCTTGGTTTGAAGTAGAGGGACCAGAAAGCGGTTCTACCCCTTGATTCGAATTTAGGACCGAGGGATTATGTCTCACAATTGTCCTAGTTTGAAAGTGGTTTGTAAGAGATATAGCAGGTTGACATATTTGGCCTACTAACTTATTCATTGTTTCGTTCAACGTCTTTAGTTGTTTGGCCATGTTGTCATAGTGTACATTCCCATTTTGTGTAAATATTTCCATATTATGAATACTTCGAAGATTTACCCGTTCAACGACGTCTTGCGTGAGTTCTCCAAGTAATGTACGCATGGTTCAAGGACTCAACTCCGTCATTGGTTCGTAACGACTGTTACTGCTCTGGTTCTGTCCATCTGTTCGTGGAGAGGCATGCTGCTCCTCATATCGCTCGATCACAGACTGGATTCCTCCCTGGCTTGCTACTTCCTTATTGGATCTCTGAGGCATATTGTTTCACCTTTTGTACTTTCAACATCTAACACCACTGTCCCACTGGGCGTGCCAAATTGTTTCGCGCGGGTTAGTTGCTAATAATTAAAAAGGATCAGACGATTGTGTAAGGGACAAACCTCTTGAGACAAAGTCCCAAAAAGGGGTGTTCTTTTATTGGCGATGACTTTACAATTGGAAATTAAAAACAACGTGCCTCCAAGGGGCGCAAGCACACGAGTTACTGAAAGAAAAGTGTTTAAGTTTAAGCTAAGGAAATGAAAATTACATGTTCTCGGTTCGAGAGTTTTTGATTCGGTCTTTTGCTTCTATGTCCTTTCTCCCTTTTATAATTCATGGTCGATCTCTTTGTGATCAACCGCCCTAAAAACTGCTTGATCGTCCTATAACTGCCCACTTTTTTCGTAATGGCCAACTTGTCATGAAAATTGTCTTTTTTAACTGCTGCCATTACTCTTCATCGTTTAACCGCTTTCAATTGAATTCCTTGAATCGTGGAACGTGATAGGGCTGCTTTAATAACTGCACTTCTTGATAACCACGACGCTTTATGTTTGTTAAGACCTTGGGCGACTTGAAGGTTTGGGCGATAATAGAGTAACAGCTCTGGGCGACTGTATGACACTCCATTCGCTCAGATTCTGGGCGACTTGCAAACTTGGGCGATGGCGTTACCGCGTTCTTGGACCTCCTTATTTGGGCATTCATCTTGATTTGTTCGATTGGGCTTCGTTCTTTGGGCTATCTGATTTGGGGATCTTCCAATTGGGCTTCACTCCTTGAGCTGTTCGATTTGATCTGAATTTTTATGTGTCAACAGGTACCCATCTTGAAATACAGCAACAAAATTGAGAATCTAGAGGTAGCTTTTCGTGTATTTTGATGTTCCTCAAAAAGCTCATTGGTTGATGACCATGAGAGCTATTTCAGAATAGGATCATCATATCTACTAATCTTTTCGGCTTGCACTGTGTCACATTAAGCTTATGTGTGGCCCCATTTTGGTAAGAAAATGTATTTTGAAATAGTGATTTTTTGAAAAATGTTTAATTAAAAAGGAGGAATTTTTTTTTTTGATTTATATGTAAAAAATATTTTATGGAAGAATGTGTGGTTGAAAATGAGTTTTTGAAAAAATTGGGCCAAAAATAGGCTAAATTTTTGGTGTATTTTTCCCAAGAATTTCATGCAAGTTATTTTAGTATTACATTGAATGTAGAAATATGTTTCTCATGTGCAAATTTAACTTGGCTGCAAGAGGTCAAGAATAAATAATCGTGTTTATGTTTCGCTAAGTAGCCATAAATTTTCTTTTTCTTGCACAACACCATGACATTTAACGATATAATGCTTTATTCAAAAAAATATTAACAATTTTTCCTTAAAAACATGTAGAAGGACGTCGCAGGATTAGTAAAATTGTATAAAATAAAAACCATTTACCTTTTGTAATGGAGAGTATAGTGCTAGCATGAATGCAAGTAACGAGCGCCTACAAATGAAAATAATAATAATAATAATAAAATAAATCTTTAGTTCAATTAGTTTCGCAATTGAAGGTAATAATTTACACAAGATTTGAACTTTACTATTACTACTCAAACAAGGCCTTCTAATTTTAAGCCTATTAAGTGGAAATTGAGAAATTCTAGCACAATCCGGAGAAAATGAAAGACAAATTATACATGGTATGAAGCAGTGTTAAATAGAAATCACACTTAAATGAAAAAGCTACATTTTGGACAACATAAATTCTCACTTCATTAAAGAATTATTATATTGAACATCTTAAAGAACTGATTACACTCATTCACACTACATAGTGCAATCATTAAAATCAAAATGAACATTTAAATGCGATTGTAATTTTCACATCATAATTAATATAAGAAAGTAAATAGATTCTGAAAAGTGAACTCTCAAAGATGGACAATCGAAAAAAGGAAATACGATAACCCAAAATGAATTAAATTCTTAATGAATAACTTTTGTGAGCAGAAGGTAAACTAATTGAGGACAACAAGCGCACATAGAACAGAGAACAGAGCACAGATTATGTTAAGAAAAAAGGCATACAAAAGGAAGAAGATAGAAAGTAAAAAAATTTAGAAGCAATAAGAAATGTATTAACGAATTGAAAATTATACAATTCCATTGTCTATAAATACAAGGAGACAAGAAATTGGAAATGTAAGAACCAAAAAGTGAGGAAAGAAATAGAAGAGGAGTGCACATTACCCGGTAATGGGAAGAGAAGAAATCGTTGTTTAGATGGAAGAGAAGAAATCGTTGTTTAGATGTAGTATGTTTGAAGCTAACAATGAACCTTAGAGGATCGACAAAATAAGAGAATTAGTAAATTCTAAAAGAAACAATAAATAGATTGACAGAAAATTAATAAACTATTAAATAAGAGGAAAATGTCATATGTACATAATAGTGTACATATAACATGGAGGGGGGCCATATACAATAAAATATTCTTGGGCCCCTCTTCATGTGAAAGATGTGTAATGTATTCTGTATACCTCATGGTGTACACATTGCATTTCCCTAAATATGATTGAAATATAGGATAGGTACAAATGAAGTAAGAACTACGTTCATATGAGATAATAACACAAATGGTCACTGAACTTTGCAAAAAAATTTCACTAGTTCACTGAATTTTAAAGATCACCTAAGTCATCACTAAACTTTGCAAAAAAGTTTCCACAAGGTTACTGAACTTTAAAAATTACCACATTCATTACTAAATTTTGCAAAAGATTTTCCAAAGGTCACTAATTTAGTGATTTTCTAGGAAACATTTTGCAAAGTTTAGTAATCCTGTGGAAACTTTTTGTAAAGTTTAGTGATGAATGAGACGATTTTTAAAGTTCAGTGACCCGTGAAAATCTTTTGCAAAGTTTACTGATGATTTGGGTGATTTTCAAAGTTCATTGACCCAGTGAAAACTTTTTGCAAAGTTCAGTGACTATTTTGGATTATTATCTCTACTTCATATGTTTAAAATTGAAGCACATATTTTATTTCTACTGAATTTTATGAACTATTACCTAATAATCTGACATGTTTACTAAAATGAAAAGTTACCTGTGATATGATATCCATATCATCGAATTCACTTTTGAACTTTAACACTGTTGAAGAGCTCATGTATGATAACAGTGTGCCTAGAAGTAGAGTATTGAATTTTAAATGTCAAGTACTTGTTAAAAATAAAGAATTCATCCACCAGAAGGGACAGTAATACATTCAGGTTTCTTTAACTGGAATATCAGTTTTCTTATTAATGTGTTATGGTGGCTTTAGATAAGTACATTTATTCATATGCAACAGCACACACTCCATAGACAAGATTAGGAGATGATATCATTTAGCCACAGTGGGTTGCTCTGTCAAGTATAGGAACACGAATAGAGTGTGCTCAATAGTAGTTGATGGGGATCAGGGATTTGGTTTGCAAACTGTCGGAATGCAATGTCGTATTCTGTCAAAGTATATGTATGGATATTATATACGCATAGATAGTGCGATTTTTCATCATTTCATAAAAAACACTAGTCCATTTTCCTTCCTCAAAAATTCATCACTTGACTTCGGCGTCAGAGTACTCCCGGCCACCATCGCTTGCATTTTAACGTGTTGTTGAATGCATAGAAGATGGAGGAGTTGGCTGAGTGGGCTCTTACTGTAAACCGGACAGGATCCAGACGTCAACAACTATTACTCCATGATTAATAAAGAGAAGCACGACACACGAAGTAAAAAGCCAGTATAAAATGAGACAAATGAAGAATAGAAGACGAAAAATTACTAAATATGGGTACATCCCTTATTGAATTCCAATGCTACAAAACATAAAGCACATGAATATACTGTGTCTCATCAGGTAACGGATTCTGCAGGGTCTCAGAAAAGAAGAACAGAATACATATACTTTGACAGAATACCACATTGCATTCTGACAGTTTGCAAACCGAATCCCTGATCCCCATCAACTACTATTGAGCATACTCTATTCGTATTACAACAACATTAGAATCAGGAAACGACGTGTGACAAAGAAAGCAAAATCCACAAGAACTAGCAATGCAATAGTTAATCAAACGGAGTCTACAGAAGGCATCTGCTTAAAAACTTAACATGCTTTGCAACTCTTCCTACAATATCCCGGAAGATCTGAAGATCCGACCATATACTCAGGATTCTTGGTGCATTCCCCGAGGGAAGCCCATCTTTCACAGTTTTCATGTGCATCTGCACAGGTCCCGTCGGATCCAACAACCTTGTCGAAAGAATTGACATGAATCCACTTTGTCGCTGACCACTTTTCACCTTCTATTACAGGACAACCCGCATGGAGACTGGTAGGGTCAGGAACTGCGTCTGGATGAAGACTGAAGAAAAGAAGGGCATCCCCTTTCCGTGGCTTCACTGTAATATTTTCAAAAATGAAAGAAGAAGATGAGCACATCAACATTCTGCTGATTTGGCATACAGAATCTACTGAAGTGATTAAGATGCGATTTAATATCTCACCTCCAATACCTTTCCGTCCACACTCTGATAAATCTTCATCAACTGAAACCGACCTGCGACGAGATGTCTCCTGAAAAGTTGTGTGAAATTTGAATTAACAGTCAGGTACAAGGACAGTGAAACCATTTAAAAATGAGAGGGGCCAAAGCGATCAATTCAGAGAATGAACTTTTGGTCATTTTCCGTGACTAGGAATTTAAGTTCTAATAATTCTCCCCTGAGAAACAGAAGAACTGAAAAGGATGATTGACCAATGCTTAATCAGTTTCACTACAAATCGCCCTTCATAAACCCATAATCACCTCATATATCAATTAAAACCTGAACATACCACAAATTTTTATAAGCTGATGAACTAAAAGATTACAAGGTGGAACATTCGACTAACCTCTGCTGAGGGAAACACTGTTTCACCCCCTTTCTCAACATCAGTAAGATACATAAGAACAGTCGCAATGCGGTGTCCACCACGAGCAATATTCACCTTGTCGACGAAGTAGTCATAGTGAGGTTCATATTTCTGTCCAGGCTCATAACGAAGTACTTGTATGTCTTCTCCATTTTCTAAATGTGAAAGAAAGGAAAGAAATCAGACCTTAACATTTGCAGTGCAAGTCATATTTCCATTGCACAGAAATAAAAAAGAAAAAAAGAACAGAAGAGGGTGCCCAAGATAATCTCCAACCTTATGCTGTAGCAACTGAAACAAATGCAAAGCGAAGGAAAATAGTAACCACTCTTATGCTGTAGCAAGGAAGGTTTAGTTCAAATACTGGGTAATTATCAGTTTATTGGCCGAAAAAATTCTTTCACTGGCACCTTGCAAGTATTCCATTTTCTGGTTATATTATAATTTCCTACTTTAGCATTTTATCAGACTCCACGAGTTTTATACACATCTTACTTCTTATAGACGCTTGGTCCAAGGGTTGGCAATTTTGATGGCCATGTCATGTTTGTCTTCTGTCACAAACCCATCATGGTCAAAGGAGCTTAACACAAACACAACCTGCCAATTAACTTGGTCAACAAGATACACCCTAACACATCTAATTACTATCTATCCAATGGTAACAAAAACTGCTCAGCACAATATTTTTGACAACTGAACAACACATAATGGAACAATGTCTAAAGGAATCATCACTCATTAGGCAACCTATATTTGGACAGGTCGACTAGGGCTCCTCTCCATATTATAAAATGATGTTAATTCCATGTTAACTGGCTGATTTGGGTTCCGTCAGCAAGTCAATGCTATTCATTTACAATTGGTTTGAGCTGTTATTGCAAGACAGTAAAGCATAAGCTATATACACAAGTTGTTCAACTCCAAGAGCATGACAGAAATTGCCAACCAACATTGTGGTTTTATTTAATTTGCACACGTGCACTACACATTGATGGTCACTCTTATATATGCCAATTGTAAATATATATTACATTGCAACAAACAAAAATACTAAGCTGAGTTACTTTAACAACCAATCAATCTTGAAATTTTTTTCCCTCTCGTGTGATTATTTTCTCTTATCCTGCTTGCTCTAAAAATTACTAAGTATGAATCAGAGTAAACAAATTTTTATATGATTGTACATGCTGTCTATGATGTTAGATGGATCAAAAAAATCTTAATCCACTGAGTTCAGACCAAGGGTTTTCACAAGATAAGAACTATGGCTCCATATATGGAGGAGAGGAGGATTTTGCAGACCAAGAAAAGCTAAAAAATTGATCACACTCGGAAGTGAATTGTGCCACAAAGATAATGTTCAACCATTATTCAACAGCAAATTATGAAGTATTCTTCATCATTTGTTGTGGCATATAAGGTAGTAAAAGATGAATGCTTTCAGGACTGAACATTGATAAAATATTCATTATTGAAAAGAATATAAAGTAAGATATGATGCAGCATACAGGTCTTCAGAAGAAGAAAAAGTTGACAAAATTAGCCTAAGATGAATAATTCTGCTCAAACAGGTGCCGTGACAGGCCCTGTGACAAGTGCCCCCCTACTGGAGGGGGTGTTGGTGAGGCTGGCAGGGGCGCCAATTGGAGGGGGCCAAATTGGCGCCCTGTCACAAGGCCTGTCATAGTAGCCCAACCTATCTAAGAAATAGGAAAAATTACGCACTGATATATTTCAAATCTTTAAAATTGAAAAACCATCAAATATAATTTGGAAAACAATCATGGGCTGGTCATAATATCTGTTGATAGCATGAGCAAGAAAATATATTGAAGTGACATCTTTATTAAGAATATGTCATGCCTTTTGGTAGGAATGTCCACATAGCAATCTTCTCTTCGATGCCGTCAATGATAGGGTCCTACAGGAAGAGATGGGTAAATGAAAGAGTATACAATGCATAAAATTCTCAAAGATCAAAAGCCTAAATTTAGGCAAAAACATGAAATAGAAGAATGAATTGTCCTGAAATTAAAGAGGCTTCAAATTCCAGTAGATTCACACAATCCCTCCTAGTACTATGCATCTCTTCGAGATGGTTAAAATCACATGTTCTAGAACATTTGCAGCACATTAAAATAAATTCACTATAAAACATCCATAACGTTCGATGGCCAAATGCTCTTCGAAAGATCAGCCCATGATCTGAAGATGACATTTACCTTAGCTCAAATTAGGCTCTTTAAGCTAGGAAATGTCAAACGTTGTCTCCATGAAGTTTCAGTTCATCACAGACTCATTTATGTTCATCTTAACTGGTGAATTATGCAAATTTTAGCATTCCTCAGCACTCATTTATGATCGACTGCTAGTTTTATCAACCAAAGCATCAGTGTCAGCAGGGTCATTTAGATCACGATGACCTTCAAAATAAAGCTCAGACTATCCATTAGGTTCAAACTTGAAAAGTACAGCCTTTCCAAAAGTCAATGCATGATACACTAACACTTATAAGCCACGGAACAGAAAATCCAGCAACAATTGAATGAGAAAAATCGAACCTTGTTTTTTGGGATGAACATTCCGGAACTGGTCCGAACCTCGCTCAATTTACTTTTTCCAGACTCATTGTCAGCTACCGCTGATCTCTTCAACTCTGATTTTGCCTAATTTACATATTGATTGCATACAAATTTATAAATGCTTTATAAATATAATCAAAGTCATAACTATTGCATACAAATATATAAATGAATTATAAATATAATCAAAGTCATACATTAATTTCAACAACAAATTCATAATTACTCTTCATTATTATCCACACTGACCCACTACTATTTTTCTTACCATTCATCTTTTTAAACCATTTATAAATTTGTCAAACCAAGGCTCACACAAAATCAATTATTTCCATGACACGTAAAAGTCAAAACATATAATGCACAAAAGAAATACTCACAAGAGATTAAATGGTTGCATCTTTATAAACCATTTATAAATTTGTCAAACCGAGGCTCACACAAAATGAATCCTTTCCATAACACGTAAAAGTCAAAACATATAATGCACAAAAGAAATACTCACAATAGATATTAAATGGTTGCATTCATCTTCCGTAAGAAATCCTTCGTAAACAAATGCTCTGAAGTGCATTTCAAAAAATGCTCAATCAGTACAATACTATTACTTAATTAATACCAAAAAAAAAAAAGAATATAAATTGATTCAGAAACTAAACAATTTTTAAATACCTGGGTTTCCATGATACAGTTTTGACTTTAGACGGATTAATGATCGAAGAGCACAAGCATTTCTGCGCGATCGATGCAATCCATAGCAGGAAAAATAGAGAAAAATTCGGAAACTTAATCATGAGCTTAAATAGAATTATTACTATTATTGTTTTTTAGAAAGAGTAGAGATTTTGAGGAAAGATTTAGAATTTTTCGGGAAAATTTTGTTTCAATCTGAATTTTGGGATTTTAGATATTTCATCAAAGGAAGTACCGGTTTGACGATAAATATATATGGTTTTGTGCGTCACCGAAACGACGACGTTTGTGCTAATTTACCTTGGCATAGATTCTCTGGAGGCTATCCAACTTACCTTTTGGGTTTAGTTTGGTCACTCAACTTCAATTTATTTCAATTTTACCTCCCAACTTTTTTTTCGATGACATTTCATCCAACATCATTTCCCGGACTAACCGATCTCGCCAACAGTGTTTTGGCTAATGGGAATGTGTTCAATTTACACTTTCCATGCTAGGAGATAAGGGGTTAAATCATTAATCTACAATGCATGGATGGAATCAAAATCACATTTTGCATGTGAATCGATAAAAAAAACTACATAGTGTAAATTTGACAAATGAATATACATTTGGTTTATTCTTGTCAGCTGGATTGGTATTCCTATCGTCCATGTCATGAGATTTGATCATTTTGATAACGATATTGGACATAATGGTCAATTTTAAATAAAAATAAAAATTATAAATTAAGCGATGAAATTGAAACAAATTTAAGTTGGATGGAATTACTCCTAATGACCTTAAAACTTGGAGCCAAGCAATTTGCACTTCGAAATATACCTTAAAATTGAAGTTGAGATTCAACATTTTTTTTTGTTTCAAACTCAGTATTTGCGTACACTGTACCTTCAACACCTTATAATGCCAGAAGAAACACGTAAAACATATTTGGTGGGTCATATTAGACTAGATAAGAATTGAAATAACACTATCTAATCCTAATCCTGTATTTTG